TTATTTTTTGAGACAGAGTCTCACTTTTGCCCAGGTTAGAGTGCCGTGGTGTCAGCCTAGCTCACAGCCTCCAATACTGGGCTCATACAATCCTTCTGCCTCAGGCTCCCGAGTAGCTGGGACTACAGGCATGCACCACCATGTCCGGCTCATTTTTTCTATGTATTTTTAGTTGGCCAATTAATTTGTTTCTATTTAGAGACGGGGGTCTCACTCTTGCTCAGGCTGGTTTCGAACTCCTGACTTTGAACAATCCTCCCACAGTGTTAGGATTACAGGCGTGAGCCACCATGTCTGGCAGGAAGCAAATTCTAATATTAAAGATAAGATGTGATTAGAACGTGAGATCAGTCAGAGTGTGGCAGGAACAAAGAAGCAGTTAAAGACCCAAGAGAAGTTCCTGAAGTATAATTGGTGATTCATTAAATGTGAGGAACATGAAAGGACTAGTTAAGAATAATTCTACCTTGAAATACTTGGTAGATGGTGATATTAAAAGTTGTAGATTTTAAATAGAAGAGGGAGAGGTTTGCGCTGTAAGAAAATGACCCTAACTTTGTAGAGTTTACTTCTAAATTGCTTGCAAGAGGCCCAAATGGAAATATGACCTAGAGTTTGGAAGAGAAGATGAGGCTCTTTTCTCATCTTTCCAATATCAATAAGTATGGATAAGAAAAATCATTGAAATTACTTTTTTTGCAATAATAGGAATATTTAAAGGAATATTTAAAGGAAATCCTTTAAAAAAAATCAAATTTAAGAGTTGGTTAGCATGTGAACTGGCTGCTACCTGTAGAATTAAGGTAAATTCCTCCAGGGCAATGACTGTAGGAATGCCTGCAAAAGCCTCTCCAGCTTGGGCCCAGGTTCCTGTCCGTTTCCTTGGTTCAAGTTTCAGCATCTGAGCCCTCAGGTGGATGTGTTATAAATTGTTTTGCTTGATTCCAAGTTTGTCTTTGGATCCAGACTTTCTAATCTTTCTCTACCCCATATTCTACAGTCTGTGAGTAAATTTCACTCTACTTTTATGACCAGGTCTATTTTCCAGAACTCTGGCCCAGGAATTGCCCTCAGGGTCCCTCCTACACTTGGAAGGAAACACTAAGCCATCACTGACAGGCAGAAAACTACAAACAGAGAAGAACCATATTGATTAAACATGATTGAACATGATTTTCTAATTGTTCTATCACTTTTGTATTATCAATAATTTTTCCCACATTGGTGAAAATTAAGCCTAGAAATACTAATTCTTACTGCTTTTCTGGAATCCTTCTGGACATACATTTATTATCAAAATAATTATCATGTTTTCAGATATTCTGATTTGTTGATGTTCCTCTTTAACACTACACCTTGATTTTGTGGTAGTCTTGTAATGTTTACCAGAAGAATATCATCCAAACTAATCACAAAATGCTCCAATGGTTTCACTTTTTTTTGTCTCCTTCCCTTGTTTCTTTATTCCCTCTATTTCTTCCCAAAGTTAAAGGGCTTACACATATGCGTGTATCTTCTTGACATACAATGCCATTCCAAAATACCTTCCACTAAGCCTGTTTTAAAACATATTCACCATTCTTTTCTAATATTGAGTTCCATCCCATTAAGTTGTACCTAGAAAGCTTATTTTGGTTAACATTTCAGAGTAATTTTTGTATTAAGTATATCCTCTGTATAGAGTTTCAAATAATCAGCTCTCTGGTTGTTTTTCTTTTTCTTTTTTTTCTTTCTTTCTTTTTTTTTTTTTACATTTTTTACAGTAGCTTAACTTCACACACACCCCGCCTCAGAGTTTCAAGTAGAACTGTGAGAAACTTCATCATCTAATTGGCATTTTGCTGCATGATGTACCACCCATAAGTAGAATCAATTTTAGAGATTATACAACAAATCCATCCTCAACTGAATTTAGGAGAGGTTAAAAAATAAATTTTTCAGTCTAAAAGTATTCATAAAGGGATAAATGTTAAAAAGATCAATTCCATAATAAGAGGAAAATGTTTGACATCTGGTTAGTGGGAGGGGGGATGAAAATAAGAAAAAAACTAGAGATGATATAATTTCTGAATCCTTACAAGTTTTAAATATTCTAAACCTAGCATAATGCCATCCTCTCTTGTCTCTGAATTTTTCTCTTTCTTTCTCTGCACTTTTTATTCCTTAAATCCTTTAATTATAGCCCTAGACCAGCTGCAGCAGTGAGATTTGTAACTATGATTTGCTAACACACAAAAAGTTTTTTAGTTTGCTACAACTGGTTATCTCCTAAAAAAGATTGGACTTAAACCTCAGCTCTCGGGAAAAAGTGAGGACAATTGTATTCGTGCGAGATTGAGTATAAGCAGATCCAAGTGGTATAGGATGGATTGTACTGGGCTCAACTTATGCACTCCCTGAGTTCTGCTTGAAACCACCTACATCTCCAGACCTCAGTCACTTGCCTTTTGGGTGCTGGGGTGTAAGAAGAGAAGCCTTGGCAAAGATTCACACCTTCCACAGTTTTGAAGTCCTGGATGCTGTTCGTGGTGCTGACACCTTCATCACTACAAATTTAGGATCTCCCATAGACTACACCTACTGACATAAATACACTGCAACTACCCATTGGCTGTAGTGAACACATTGAGGTTTTGGTTTCCCTAGCATATACCTGCAGGGGCCAGCTAACACAGCCCAGAAAACCAGGGAGTCAATGCTACATGGACAGATTCTAACAAATAAAAGAGAAAACAAAAGGAACAGCAAATAAATTGTTCTGCTTTCCTTCCTGTAATGAACTATTCCCAATTGCCATAGTTTCATATAACCTCTCTGGAGACTTCCTGTAACAATTAACAATCAACCAAAAGCTGTGAAAAGCTGAGGAACATGTTCCATAGCTTCAGTTTTTCCTTCATTTTTGCTTCTCTAGGCTTGTATCCCTAAGAAAACTGTAGCACATAAACTTTTGCCTCAAGGTCTGTTTTCTGGGGAAGCTTATGGTCTAAAGGTTATGGTAAGACATGGTCTAAATATCAGCAAGAAAAAAGACATTTTTAGATTGGCTGTTCTAAATGATTATAACCAAAACCTAAGGACATGGAAAAGTTGAAAGAAGTATGAAAACATATATTGCAGACAAATATTAATTTTTTAAAAAACTATAATAGTTCTATTAGATAGAGTTAAAACAGACTTTAATGAATAAAAAACATACATTATAAGGTGTGTAATATATAACTATAAAATTAATTAACAGAAAGAGTTAATAATTCTTAATGTGTATGTGGTTAATAAAATGCTTTCAAAATGTATACAGTAGAAATTGCTGAAACAACTGTGAGAAAGTGAAAAAATTCCTAATCCTAGAGTCATCTATTCACTTCTTTCAAATGTTGATACAATAAGAAGAAAGAAATTGGGAAATATAAATAATTTAAGCACATAATTAACATATTTCTAATATCAATTTTTAAAAACCTAGAAAGAAGCAAAACATCCTTTGACAGATGCCTGGAAAAAAATTGTTGTATAGTCATTCCATGAAAGTGAAAACATTACAGGTATGTGCAACAACATGAAGAATCTAAGAAACATAGGCTTCAGTGAAAAAAGCATGTTGCAGACCACGTAGACCATAATAGTATATATAAAGCTCAAAACCTAGAGATAGATACTTTTATAATAGAAACTATTTTAAAAAACAATGGAACAGTAAACTCAACATCCAGGATTTTGGTTATCCTTTGGAGTTGGCAGGGAGTTGGAATTTGGAAGAAAGTATAGACACAGCCTCAGTGATATTAGTAATATTCTCCCAAACTGGGTGGAGGGTTCATGACTATTTTATTTTCATGCTTCATCACTTTTAGGTAAGTTACATATGTTATTTTATGTATCAAATATATAAAAATATGTAAAATTTAAAGTTAATTTTAAATAACATGAATAGTAGGTAGGACAAGGTCACTAATCACTAGTCATTAGTCACTAAAAAATTATTTAGGAAAAAAATGAATTTTAACAACTTCATTACTGCCAAGTTTTACTTATTACAGATTTTGAATTTAGTCTAAAGATCATACTTTATTATTCTGATCACCTAGATTCTTAATCAAAAAACTAATAATTTTTTAAATTATAAACATGGATTCAACTTAATGATCTGCTTTCCAAGTTCACTTCACTGATTTTTCAACATAGAAGGGCTATATAGTAATGCCCAGGGAAATTTGGCATGTTTTATTTAATTTTGTTTAGAAGTGTAGCTATAATTTTGGAACTACCAGTGAAAATGCAGTAAAAATTTCTCAGTAAAGAGGAATACCAGAATTACTGGATGTCATTTAAATATTCTTGAATTACCATATGCTATGTACGTATACTGTAAGTGCTATTTATCCCCACCTGCATACCTATAAACTCTTAGTATCGTAGTGCATGGAGCAAGAATGTAAGTGATAAAATTAAGGAACATGAAGTGCTACTCTGTTCATTTTAATGCTACATGAAGCCAAAGGTCCATATATAGACTATATCTTAAATATATACGTGCAATAAGAGATACATAATAATTACCAGTTGGTTCAAAGTAGAACATGAGGGTATTCACTTATTAGCTATCTTTGGCAAACTTGGAAGACGTATTATCCCTCTGGACATTTTCTGCATTTTAACAATAAAGATAATTTGACTCCCCCAATTTAGAGGTCTGAAGAGGAAATAAAATAATATATATAAAGGTCATAGTACAATGTGCTTTTCATTCATTGTGAGCATTCAATAATTGTAAGCTGTTGTAATTATTATTATATGATTGGGGTAGAGCTGACATGTGTGACCAGCTTCTATCTCAAAAGAAACAGCATTGTTGTGTTATTTTACCCTTATCTAAGACTTTGGACTAGGTAAGCACTTGAAGAAGATAATATTTATGTGTATGGAGATTAGATATAAAAGACTGATGAGTGTACCAGTTTCAGCTTCAAAAAAAACCAGAACACCCAACTAAAAGTGACTTAAACAATAAGGAAATTTTATTATGCCACATGTCAAGAATTCTTTTGTAGAGGTGGGGTTGTATAGAGTGGATTAATTCAGAAGCTCATGAATTTCACTAAAAACCTAAAGGTTTCTACAATCTCTCTTTTAGGCTATCCTCAGCATGTCTGTTACGCTCCTTAGTCTTGCAAGATGACTACAGCAACTTCAAGTAGCTTCATACAAGATTGTTCAAAGGTTAGATGAAAAGGCATCTCTTCTGTTTGTCTGAAGAATATGGAAAAATCTTCTGAGGAGGTGTTGTCTCATGTTTCAGTGACCACAATTGCATCACATGTCCATTCACAGAAGTGGGGGTGCAAGGGTGATTAAAATAAGTAACTGACAGTATGTGTCATTATCAAAGATGGGAAGGAGGCATTGGAAGCAGCATGAAAAAGGTTAATCAACCAACAAATATTTACTGTATGACATCTAGTACAGAGAACCATTCTATGAATATTTGGGAGTATTACAAAAAGTGAAGATGGCAATGTGTAGTTAAGAAGAAAAATAAATGATGACTTTTTAATGAAAAAAAGCAAAAATACTAGCAAGGACATAGAATTAAGTAAAATAAGAAAAAATTACAGAATTATAAAACAGTATTATCTCATTATTTATGTTTAGCAAATGTCATTATTCTATGCATATATCCCCTGTATCTTTAATTACCTTTCCCTCAAGGGAAATAACACTCATTTTCAGTATTAGCATACCACATGGCTTGGAGAAGTTCTTTTTTTGTTGTTGTTGTTACCTGGACAGCAACATTTTAAAAATAAACAGGGGAACTCTAGAAAAGTTAAGTTATCTGCATTACACAATTTGCAATTCAAGAGGAAAATTATAATGATAAACTAAGCACTTAGCATGCATATATAATATTGTACTTAGATTCTTAGGCTTACTGACAAATGATAAGCATAAAAACACTTACACAAACAAGGAGGTAAATCACACTTTAGTTCAAAGCCATCACAGAAGCTATAAAATTCCTTCCTGTGCATTTTTGAATTTGAAAATATTGATGATTTATATATACCATGTATTAAATCAAAATGATCATCAAGAGAGTGACCAGTAAATATTTAATGGATTTGTGAACATTAAGCCTATTATTTTTAACTTGTTTCCATTATAGGTAAAAGGAATATTGAAAAAAAAATCACAGTGGCGTTTTCTGCTGAAGACACCATGTTTTTAAAGGCTCTGAACTCATAAAAATTTTAAAGCTAATAGCAACCTTATAAATTATTTCATCCTGCCCCCTAATTTTACTAATAAGATCCAGATAGAGAGAGGTAGAGTGACTTTTCCCAGTTCATGCAGCTGGTTAGCTGCTTGTTAGGACCAGCTCTCATTCTTTGCAACCTGCATTTGAATATTTTTCAGAAGATCTTTCTATTTTCTCCTCTAATGTGTTATTGTTCTTGTTTTTTTCTCTTTTACTGTTGGAATACATAGAACCTCCAAATCCAGATTTTAAAGCAGGCAATTAACATATTTACCTCAATTTTCATAACTATCAGAAACATAATCACAGTGAGATAGATTATGTTTAAGTCAGTTGCACTTTTACTTGCTTGAGTTTGGTCTTTAATACCTGGGAGAATTATTTCTGTGATAGCTGAGAAATCTAAATACCAACTCTGCTACTCACAAGCACCCCATCCTCAATGTTATCCAAAAGAATATTTAATAAAATAGAGAAATAAGCACAGTAATTTTATTACAGAAGAGAAAATAAAAGTGGTTCAAAGTCCCTTCCCCAAAACTATGCATGGTCCCTGCAGGGAGATTGGTCTGAATAAGGGTCTTGATCTCCAAACCTTGGCCCTGTTCTAAAATCTACCACTTCTGTTCCTTCTTCCAAAGTAAAATGCCTATAAGGGGACATGGCCTAACAGTATCTTCTGAATACTTTTCTGGGTCTATATTGCTGAAGTAATTATCTGCTTGATATAAACACATCCTTTAGGCAGTTTCTGCTTGGTCTCATTACCGTTCATGCCCATTTCCTATATTGGCAAATTCAACCAGGTGTTTTCCATTTCAGAGATTCATTCCTTGAACAAATGTTTGCTAAGTACCTGGTGTTTTCCTGGCACCCTAATATGCTCTGGGGATACATTGTTGAGCAAGAAAGACACAATTTCTTTTCTTATAGAGCATTTATTAATAATTCGATAGGGAAGACAGACAATTAGGTAACTAAACTCAACATGTTACTTTCTCTGAACCAGAAATTATGGAGTATGATGAGAGCACATAACAGGAACACCTAATATAATTTCCAAAGGAAGTTACTTTTAAACTGGACACTGAAGGCTGAGGAGGAAGTTCACAGGCAAAATAGGCTGATTTCATTTGCACAAATATGTTTAGGAGTTGTTCATTTATTTTTCAGTAACATTGTTCTTAAAAGAATATTTTAAAAACTAGAAGCATCTTGTTTGGAAACTTTGATTTAAGTTCTTTGCTCCAAGATTTATTTGCCCCATCTAGATTTCAGCATTTCCTGGAACCGAGTCTTAATATCTAAATTTAATTTCTGTTGTGGCTGTGGTTTCTTAAAGAAGGGTCACTATCTTAGAATAACATAGAGTAGTATTTAACTTTGAGATTATAAGGATCCACCCTAGATCTACTGACATATAATCTCGGGGGGCATACAAACAGTACTCAAATTTGCATGCTTAACAAATTCCCCTCATACACACTAAAGTTTGAGACTTATTGGCTGAAATCGTTGAATGTATATTCAGGATGTAACTAAAACCCTCTCCCCCAACTTTCTTCTAATTGCCTCAAAATGGAGTATATTTGTCCTTTCAAGGGAAAACTATCCCTAGCTGTCCAAATGCCAAAACTTCACCTTGATTATTTCCCCATTATATTACCTAAGGCATAATGTTGGTATATAAGCATTTCTTCGGACTAAATGACACATGCCTAGGGCAATCACCAGTTATTGCAGCCCTCTTACTTGGGAGAAGTAGGAATTAGAAAGGTCAGTGTTCAAAATTCCTGCTTCGCCTATCTGGAGTTGTATATTTTTATCTAGAGAGAGAAAATCACAGTTACTGTAAGTGACTAGCCTCTGGCCAACTCAGAAAATTGGGGCAAAGTTTATCAAAGTACCCCTGGAGTTTGTGCCCCAATATCCAGTGTATTGCCAACTAAATCTTTTTGGTGCCAAAGTATATTGCATAAAACTACTGCATTAATTAGGACAAGACTAGCCTGCTATAAAAATGACACCCAATGATAATTCAGTGGCTTAAGGAAGATTGAAGTTCATTTCACTATCAGCAGTCCAAGATGAGTGTATTAGGGTGGGTGGGCGTGGAGGGAGGAGACAGACTCTGCTCCACACAGTTTTTAAGTGACCAAGACTTTTTTCATTGTGTGCTCCTCCTTTCTCTAGGACATTGTACTTCCCTGAATGCTAAGTCAGGTTGCTACATGTTCCTGTTACTGGGAAGGGGAAGAAGAGCATGGAGACAGCACAAGAAATGCATGCATCATTTCCGTTCATATTCTAAAAGTGAAAAGCTAATCTTGTGATTACACGTAACTGACACAGGGGCTCAGAAATCAATCCCTAACTGGGTGGCTATTTCAAACTGTGTTACTATGAAAAAAGGGAAGAACACATATTGTGTAATAACCTAGCGGTCTCCATAACCGTACTTTTTATCAAAGAACTCCTAGAGTTTGTGACCCAAGAGAAAAACAAACTGTTTATCAAAGTACCCCTGGAGTTTATGACCCATGGAAAAATACAAACTGAATAGTAATGATTTTGCCATAGAAGAGATTATTGGCTCTGAAAAAAAAAATCACTTTTTTTTTAAATTAGCATAGGAATTTATTAGTTTAATAAGAAATGAAACACATTCCTTTTGGGAAAATGAGTCTGTGTCATTTATCTATTGCTGCCTAACAAACCACTTCAAATCTTAGTGGCTTAAAACGGGTCAGCAAACTTCTTCTGTAAAGGGGGAGACAGTAAATATTTTAGGCTTTGTAAGCCATATGGTGTCTGTTGCAACTATTCAACTCTGGCACTGTACTGCGAAAAAACCTTAAACAAAAACATGTAGTGATCTGGACTTGGTCCATGGACTATAGATTGCCTCCCTTTGGCTTAAAACAATGATTATTTTATTTTTGCTCATGAGTCTGTAGGTGATAAATTGGTTCTTCGGCTAGTGGAAAGGTCATGTAAGGCTGAATGGTCTAGAATGGCCTTGCTCACGTGTCTGGTGGTTAGTCCAGGGGACCTCAGCTGGTAGGGTTCATCTCCACTCGATGTGGTCTCTCTTCCCAGTGGCTAGCTCAAGCTTCTTTACGTGGCATTTTCAGAGCAGCAAAAACAGGAAATCCTAATGTGCGTGTGATTGTCAAACCTCTGCTCTCATCAGATTTGCTAATGTCATGTTGGCCAAAGCAAGTCACTTGGGAAAGCCCAAATTGAAGAGGAAGAGAAATAAACTTTAGCTCTTGATGAGAGGAATAGTAACATCATATTGCAAAGGTATATGCATACAGGAATAAAAGAAATTTTTTCTGTTATCTTTGTAAACATCTACCACAAACTAACTCTTTGAAGTAATAAAGAACTTGTCATTCGATTTAATTTTGGTAGTTTCCTTTCCTTACTACAAAATTACTTAAATGCTTTCCAAAAACATTTTTAACAATAAAGTGACTTTTGTACTTTGTAAACTACAGAAGAAAATGCGTATGTATAACATTTTTAAATATTACAAAGAATTATACTCCAAGGCAAGAAATGAAACAAGAATCTTAAAAATAATCCATATTGAAGAACCTAGATGAGAGAGTTTTTAAGCAGGCAACCAAGCAGGGTTATCTCTAGACTGTTTAATCTTTCCTTAAATTCCTTATTTCCTACAGTGCTTACCTTTAAAGTTTCAAGTTATACCTACTGTCTGTCATCATGACAGACAAAGTGGCCTCTGGCTCAGAATTTTCTATTAGAACTTTCTGAACAGTGGGGTGTATAGACAGCATCAGTTCTCATGTTAACTTATCAAGAAGTTTTGAAGAGCTGAAGCTATGAATTTAATCTAATTTGGAGGGGCAGGTTAAAACCCCAAGAGATGCCCTTGGGCTTCTACATATATGAGTTGCTATAGGAAACACAGAAGTTTTTCTAAACTAATAATACAGAAGAAATTTATTATACAAGTAAGTGTTTATCTTCTTTATAAAAACCTAATAATATTTAGGAGAAACCATTTCATCTGTGAAGTCAGTAAAATATTTTTTACTAGTCCTTCTCTCCTGGAATTTTGATGAACTAATTGAAATGCTTTCTAGTGTGTTAGAAATGCAAAATTGTTTGATGTTCTATATAATAGGCTGAGTTAAAATACTACAGTGCTACCATTATCTATGTACCAGAAATCATGTGAAATTATCATCCACTGGAAGGTATGCAGAATTCTAGATGGACCTGTCATATCTATTTTTCCTTTTCAGAAAAAAAAAAAAAAAAGAGCATAAACTTTAGGGAACTTGTCTAAGGTCCAGTGGTGCTCTGGTAAGCTGGCACATGGGGAATAAAACAATAATTTGTCTAATTTAGTGTTTGCCAATTTGGGAGGTGTAACAATTTCATCTTGGCTGATTCTAAACTACCAAAGTGATGTCTCTGAACACAATGTTGGGAAGAAAGGCACATAATCAGCTATCATGAGCCAGTAGGATGTGGCTCTCTCACATTACTGCCAAGATCACAGACATAATAGGAAATAGGAGAGCCAGGATTTGAGCTCCTAGTTGTCTACAAAGCCCATCCTCTGTCTAAACCATCATACAATAATGTCTTCCCAATATAATAAATTATCTACCTGAGAAATAAAAAAATGATGAATGTCAGTAACGTTTTTAATTCCAGAAACATGGATGTGTCTTTATTCTATTTTGGAAATTAATACAAGAAATATTCTCTCAGAATTATGCAAATTGTTTTATGTTAGAGGCCAAGAAAAGCTTTCATATTTCTTTCATTACCTTTTCCTTCTCTTTCTATCCTTATCTTAAGCTTTCACAATTTTTCTTATTATTGGTTCTTATTCATATTTTGTTGTCACATTTCATGTTAAAATCCTTACACTTAGCCCCCAACAAATTCTTCTGCTGTTTCAGACTGCTGCTGCTTTTTTTTTTTCATTTTCATCACATATTTATATATTTATTCTTACCTTTTAGTATAACTTTCACACTTTTATTCATTGGTTCTTCAATATTGTGGTTTGAGCAAGTAAGTAGAAGGATAGGAAGTCCTGCTACTAAAATAGGGTGGGTTCACATTTTAAAATTTGCCCTTTCTATACCAGAGTTTCCTCATCTGTAAATGGGGATAATATAGAACTTACCTCATGTTCTGTGAGTGATTGATCGATTAAAGTAAAACAAAACCATGTGCCATATAAAAAATAAATATGGAAAGCTTGAGTTAGGGATGATGTCTTGAGAATGGATGAGACCCAGCATTGTTTGATGCTGATGAAAATCATAATTTGATGATTGATGGGAGCACATCTTAATAATTTAGAAACAATTCAACTTTTGAAGGTGATAGCATTTTTTCACAACATGAAATGGAGTTGTACTTGGGTACTTTCTTCACATAACAGATTTTACACTAATACTTTTCATCCTTTGTTAAAATAATTAAGGTACTCATTAATACCATTTAACATTATTATGGATTGGAAGAATGACAAATGGGAAAACCTATTTTTTGCCAAATCTGATATGTTTTAAGATTAAAAAAAAATAAAACCATTTTGCAATTTACTATGAATTTCTATCTGATTAGTTCAGGGGAAATATATGAACGCATACCTGTAGTGATAGATCAATACATGTTTGCACTATGCCAGAGCAAATGGAAAGTTTTAAAACTCATTAGAATTTTCATAATTTCTTCATATATCTGAATTGAAGTAGGTGGACATCAGCAAAATTTTTCTCATATACTTCTGTAGAAAAATAAAAGTATAAATTAATTGGATTCTTCTTTTTATAAAATTAATCCCATTGTATATTTTCTTCCCATATAAAGACAGAATATATTTTGAGAAATAGCTAATTTATAATGGATAATTCTCACTGTCAAAAAGTTAAAAACAAACTTACCTTTTGTTTGATGTGTCATAATTATGGATCCATGGCAAAATTGAGTGGCATCTTCATTTTCTGTTGAAATTATTATTTTTATTATGTAGTATTTCCTAGAGTTTTGAAGATTTGTACAAAAGAGTGAGTAAGAATTTTTTTTTTTTTGCCTGACGTTTTCAAGTACATTCAGGCAAATGAAAATAAATAGATAGGAAACAGAGCTAATTTAGAAGACAGACTCAAATGAAATAAAACCAGTAATAGGAACAATATGGAACTCTGAATCAGGAAATGAACCCAGAAATTAATTTGATTTTAAATAGTGGTTAATTATAATTAAACATTAAACATAATTTGTACATCTTGTATCAGACCACTGAATGGAACATATAACAAAGTTTGTGTTTTTGTCTTTTTATTTATTTTTCCTTCCTCAACTCCTACCCAGACATTCCTGTTGTACTAGAGAAAGCCAAGTTTTGTGTGGGAAATAGAAGACAGTTTAAGATTATCATAATGTTAGGGGCTAAACGAGAATCCTGGGGAGAAAAAAAAATTAAAGTTTAACCAATAAATATCCTTCTAATAGATGGAAAGTGGTGATGATGGTATAAATGCTGCCTCAACATAAATAAAATAAATCTATTGAACATAATACCTCTGTTCTTTCCAAAGCCAAATGATTCTATTTACTATTCCAGTGGCTTTACTTGTTAAATTTCATCACTCAGCAGACAGAAAGTGCAACTTGGCAATAACATAGTCATATTGGCTTTTTTCCCCTACAATTATAGAACTTGAATTTTCCTTCTGTGTAGCATATTACACTGTAGATATACACGTTATTTCTCTTCAAATTTTGGTGTTACTATAAGGTGTGAGCTTCGTTTATTAAAATATGGTAATTGAGAGCTTTTTATCTTTATTCAGAGGAAAATATGAGGAGGATCAGTTTTTGCATAAAACTTTGGATTGTAGTAAATCCCATTTCTCTTATAATTATGGGTTTGATTTTTATTGACCTGTAAAATAACATGACATTTTAGAAGCTTATGATAATTTATTTTATCTGTAAGAAAATGTAACACCGATGAATATTAAATCTAAACATATTCTAGATTAAACAGATGGTAAAGCAGAAGTAGTGAGAAAGCTAAATAAATAATAAATAAATTAAAGAGGAGTGAGGATTAGTCATAAAGTGAAAATGAAAACTCTAATAATGACAAGGTTGTGAACAAAACATTTAAAGAAAATGCAAGACACATAGCTTGGGTATATACGTTTCTATTTTTTTCGTACTTTTTCTGAGCTTCATTTTATTATTAAATTATGAAATTTAGCTTAATGAATATAAAGCATGCTGAACTTATGAGGAGTACCACCCAAATTATTTCACAACATAAACATCAATTTTGTAGGTCGTTAGTACAACCCCTATATTGTCAAGATGTTATATTTAATAGTTTTATCCTTCAATGCAGACTATAATTCTCCAAAGTTAACTTTATTTGGTTATGTAAACAGCTCATTTCATTACTAGACCTTGCTTTTTATCTTAAGCATTGTATTTTTATATTAACTTTATTTCTAGGGAACCATTGAGAATGTTTAAATTGATCATTTTTATGGAATGCATGGTTTGTCATAAGCAACATAAATAAACACATTAATTGCCTTATCATACATTCATCTGACAGATGGGTCCCCAGGCACAGAGCCTAACCTTTTATTTTGACACCTGCCACATTTTGCCAGCCCTGACCCTTTTTCTTTGCCAGAGTGTCACTGTGTTGTTCACCATGGTTGCACTAATCTCCAGTTTTTAAAAGGCATAATATTGGAACCCTTCTGAGAATCAGCTATCAATCAGCTGATACTACAACATAAAATATTTCACGAACCCAGCCAATATCCCTTCTCTTTCATGATTCAAACACATTTTCTCTTATTTCTGTTTACCTACTGATTCAATAAAATTACATGGAGCTTGTTTTAATCTAAGACCCCATATTGTTAACATCTGACACAAATCATTTAATTTAGCAGAAATTTAAAATTTAGAATTTACTGGAGAATAAAAAAGAAAGCTGTGATTCCACTTTTGTACTAAAAGATACTTTTTACTATGAAGCAAGCTATTTTAACATATAGCTAAGGAGTTAATATCAATTTGAATAATTTCACTAAAAAGAAAGAATCAAGGCAATAAAACATGTTTGAAAATCACTGTGACTCAATCTCATACCTACACCTTTGATTTCTGGGGTGATTCCAGAAGCCATTAGCACACGATATGTGTCTGGGTTAGTACAACTAAAAGCACATGTCTGGTCCATTAAAGAGTGGGGTTTGGTTCCAAAGAGCTCTGCAAATCAGAGAACATACAGGGGGCAGGTGAATTGTGGAAGCTCATCCATTATGGAGATAATTTGGTATGGATTTTAAGAGATTTCCTCCTTGAGCAAAATCAGATTGTAATTAACTATGGAAAATGTTGTAATCAATCTTTTTTGTAATTTGGAAACAAAGAAATATTAAAATAGGTATATAGGATAGCTTTTTAGTAACAAACAGGTAGTTCCCACTAGACCAACTCAGTTTGGTTTACAATCTCACTGCAGAGATGTGGATGCCAATAACTTGTCTTTCAAATATTGTGTCTATTGGTTCTGAAATAAACTTTTAAAAATAATAGGAAAAGCCTGGAACTATTTTCTGGTTAAACTAAGCTTCTTGAATAATTCAGAGACCCATTTGTGCCAGCTAGGATATATACATACATTGCAAGAAGTATGGGATCTATATCTTAGGACATTCAAAGAAAATACTGTTTCCTGCCTGGGGCTAAGAGTTTTTGGAATTGAAGTAATTGTAGAGTTATAGCAGCTTTGTGTACTTCAACATCAGCAGTTCTTTAATCCTTAGCAATCCACCATTAATATGACTCAGCTCTATTGCACATATTCCTTTCTTCGCCCTGCCGCAATGCAATCCAGCTTTCACAGATTACTCAGAGTCTGTGCTAGCTCATATTTTAACCATATGCAAAACCTTGGAATGCCATAGAAAATGCATTCTTCACATATTAGATCTAAAGCCAGAGACTAAAAACTGATGAGTCTAGTTCATCTTTTCCAGCCTAGCCACACAGTTCATAGATTGTCTGGCCAGTCCATCCTTTGGCCCCAGTCCAGTCCAATCAGCTATAAATGTAAAGCATTAGTGTTTGGGTTGAGTTAGGGTTAGGTCCTTTGTGAGTAAAAATGGCAACTTAGATGGCAGATGTTCTGGATGAGGATGATTCTCTTAGAAAGGATATGTCATGGTTGACAGGCAATACTCTAAGTGTGGTCCAAGGATTGGAGCTATTCCATGTGCTATTTCTTATCCATCCAAAATGATAAACACATTGAGGATAACAATTTAGGAACTCTTATAGCTATTTGCTAAAGTAATTTGATGGCTGTTGAATATAATCATAACAAATTTGGACTTGAGTTTTGTTTAGCTTTTTGTTTTTCATTTTCTAGTAATTCAATGGTACTATATTACTAAACATAATGGTTGGCAACATATTAGGGGTGAGTGGGAAGCTTGTCTTTCACCTCAGATATTTTGAGATTAGAAGACACCTAGACTCCAATTTGGGTACCCTCCTAACCAATTAAGTGATAATGATCAAATTTCTGTTGTCAAATCATAATTCGCTGAGTACCAGTTTCCTCCTAAACAAACAGGGACTATAACGGCAGTCACTCACCTTTTCAAATTATTGTCAGTGGTGAAAAGATGCAGTACAATGAATTTTGAAAAGCTATAGCAGGGCAATCAGGATTAAGTAATAAAGTCTCTCTATATATACAAACATGTATACATCCATACACACATGCCAACATGGAATAATTAAATCTATGCTCAATATTTTTATAATAAATATATTTATTTTAAATATTATAACTTTCTCATATAAAATGTAAGATATGGCAGTGTGGACTTTATTGCTTGTTTCTATTTCATTTGCTAGTTTTTAAATAAAGGCAATTAGAGAGCAAATTAATAAAAATTGGCTCAGGAAGCATTTTGTTCTCAATGAGTTTACAATTTACTTGCTTGTATGTAAAAGATAAATATAAATATTTAAGCAGTATAATATTCCAAGAACAATCAAGAAGTACATATTTAATAAACTAATGACACAACTATTAAAGACTAAAGATATCCAAAGGAAGGATAAAGGATTTCATGCTATGGTGGTCAGAGAAGATTTATAGTACAGGCAGGATTTATGTAGTATTTTGAAGAATGGATGAGATTTAGAAAGGTGGAAAGGATGAACTAGATTATTCTGGGCAAAACAACACTTCCAAGCAAAAGAGTAGAATCAGAACATCGATGTACACGTGTGTGTGAATATGTGTGTGTTTTTATAGATAGAGAAATGTCAGAAAATAAATTAGAGGCATATAATAAATAAAATTTAAAACTCTGAAAATCAAATTACAAATGTAAACTTAATTTTTTGTAGTTTTTGCCCACAATAGTAAAATATTACATTATTATAACTGGGCTTCTTAAAATAGAATTCTTTTTACATATATATTTATTAGCATACATGTTAAATTCAAACCTTACCAATACAAAGTAATTTAACAAATATTTTTCTCTAACTAAAACACATTATGTTATATGATATTTTAAAAAAATATCAGAAACAATTCAAAGTAGTAAAACAAAATTTAAAAATATTAGTATGCTTTCCTGTGGCCATCTGGCATCTCAGTCTAATGTGAAGAACAAACTAAATGACGAGAGAATTGCTTCTCCTAATGAGCAACTTTATAACCTTAATAATTTTATTACTTTACAATAGAGTCATATTAATTAAATTACAGAATATTACACAGCATTATATAAATTTGGACCATTGTACATATAGTGCCTCACTAAAAATATCTACCCAGTAAGAATGCCATTATTTTAAGAAATAAATACTACCATATTAATAATGTAATTTAGTTATTTTAATGCAAGTTTTTGGTATTTCAGCATTCAACTATGTTATATCAATTTGAAATACCAAAGTATTGGTAGTTTAGTCTTTATATTAATAATATTGTTTTACTTTTTATTCTGAATTTTTTACAGTATAAGATTAAAAATCAATGTTTTAATTGTTCAATTTATACAAAAAAGACAAACCAACAAAGGGTCTACAGTTCTACAAAAGTCACTGTCTGGGCCGGGTGTGGTGGCTCATGCCTGTAATCCTAGCACTCTGGGAGGCCAAGGAGGGAGGATCGCTCGATGTCAGGAGTTCGAGACCAGCCTGAGCAAGAGCAAGACCCTGTCTCTACTAAAAATAGAAAGAAATTAATCGGACAACTAAAAATATATAGAGAAAAAATTAGCCGGACATGGTGGCGCATGCCTGTAGTCCCAGCTACCCAAGAGGCTGAGGCAGGAGGATCGCTTAAGCCTAGGAGTTGGAGGTTGCTATGAGCTAGGCTAACACCACGGCAGCACTCTAGCCCGGGTGATAGAGTGACACTCTGTGTCAAAAAAAAAAAAAAAATAGTCACCGTTTGGCATAATAAGCAAATATATTGTGGTGCAGCAGGCTTGTATTACAAGAATAATCCTACTCTGGTGGTTGGTAAGTAAGATAGTATTGAAAGTGAAAGAGGTAACTGTATAGACATCTCCAAGCACATAAAACAAAATAAAAGATGAGAAATACAAACTGGAAATATTTAAACAAAATAGAAATATGCACTATAGATCTAATTTAATTAAAAAGACTGCAGCTCCTGAAAAGAAAAAAGTTAATAATAAATATCTTAAAATAATCAAAACAAGAAGTAGGATTGTGTAAAGATGAAGGAATCAGAGGAAAATATGCAAAGATACTTTATAGCTTTCTCTGCAGCAATTTCCTGGACCAGCAGAGATATGAAAAGAGCTTTTGAGCAGTTAGAAAAATTACAGCAATATGGATTGAATGAACCTTTGCTTCTTTAGGTCAAAATTTATAAAACCAAAAGTATTATTTTACTTTCAATTGTCTTAATTAATTTTTTTCATTTTATCTAGTGTTTTGCTTGTTATTTTAATAATACTTTATTAATTGAATCAGTGAATAATTTACATTGGAATGATGTTTGCTATTCACATACAGTACACTATAAATTTACATTTTTGCTTTTTGCATTCTGCTTTGTTTGTGTTTGTAAATGTTTATATTTGAAATGTATGAACAAACTAGTTTTGCTTTTTTTATTGCTTCTTAACAACATTCAAATTAAATACCAGAATAAACTACCTATAACATCATTCTAATAGTCTTATTTTACTATGAATTGCCTGTCCAATCAAAGTACGATATTAATCAAGCTAGTTGATTTCTCCTAAGTACTCTTTGAGAAAAAGTGTGGTAAGAAGATCATGATTCTCTAATGATTTCTAGTCAGTTGGCTAAACTAAGTTCTATCTTTTAAAAAATCTTATAGTCCTTCCCTTCCACAAGCTCCTCTGCAAAGAAGCAATTCATTTTATTTCTGCCATTTAAAAAACCATTTTATAGCCCTAATGATCTATCACTTTTTAGTCATTTTTTTCTTTTAAAGTTATGTTTCTTCAAAGAATAGTCAATATTCACTGCCTGATATTCACTACACATTCACTTCTCATCCACTTTCAGTTTGGCTCCTTGTATGGAAACTTTTCTGTTACAGATAGTAAGGCTCTTTAGTTATCAAACACATGGCCTTTACTCACAATTCATTCTGAATCTCATTCGGATTTTTTACTTTCTTGATCACCCTCCTCTTAAAAATCAGTTCTCTTGGCATCTGTGACCTCTCTTAACTGACAATTTTTTAAAAACTTCATCCTCCCTTTTTGTTCTGGAATGCACACATTTTCTAAGCATCCGCTTCTTTCTTATAAAACATAATACTGGTCATATCCAGAAACCTCCAGTGACTTTTTATAGGAATTCTAACTTACTTATTTTTTAAATTCCAATAACCCCCACCATTTGGCCAAGTACATTTGTCTAGCCTTACTTTTTCATTTCTACATTTTTAAAGATACATTTCACCTGTCTTTTCTCCCTCACACTAAACTCTCAGTTGATTTAGAACTAGAGTTTGTGTTATTTGTTGGTATTCCCTAGATCTTCATACACTTTATTGTATGATCTTAATATACATGTTTTCATGCTAAATGAACAAATGAATGAAGTATGTTTTACCCACCATCTCTTTATCCCTGAAATTCTGACATCTCAGACTAGAAATAGAATTCTCTTAAGATCAAAGCTAATAAAAAGACTAGAATGGTGGTTCTCAGCCCTGGATGAGCACTGGAATCACTGGGAAGATTTTGAGAAATACTAATGCTCCACCTACAGACATTCTGATTTAATTGCCCTGGGTGGGATTCAGTAAATGGTATTTTTAAATGTTCCCCAGACAATTTGAAGTACACCCAAAGTTAAGAACTTTTGAGCTAGAGACTAAGTGTAGGCTGGGGAAACTTGAATTTTGAATTTCGTTTAAGATTAATTCTCACGTACTATATTTACCCCAACAATCGAATCTACCCCAAATGAATCCTTTCACTGTCTCCATGCAACAGAATTTGATACTTAATAGATCTACAGTTAATAGGAAATATACATGAAAAGAACTCATTGTCATAGAAAAATAGACTTTTAAAAACTGTATGTAATTATCTATTCATGCACTTATCTATTCATTTAACCAATATTAATGTCCAATTATGCTTTGGTTGTTTATAATTGCAATTTTAACTAGTACCAAAATGATTCCAAATAGGCTATTTTAAATTTTAGAGTTTACTAATGCTTAATACATCTTATGTGCTTATTAACAGTATTGATTACCTTTGGAGTCACCAGGGTCCTAGTAAGACCTTCAAGGTCATATGGGTTTTGAATCCTCTAACTAGTGTTTAAAGAGTACCACACAGTACTTACTGAGGGAAAGGTCTAAATGAGGTAGACTTGTTAAGTTTTTGGTATTTCTATTATTTTGTCTTGCTGTCTCTTTAAACACAGACATAACACATATGTTGAAGTACTTGTTTTACATTTTAAGTCTCGCAAAATAGCCAATCAATATTGTCTAACTCCTTTGTTGTTTTAGAAAACAATTGATTGTTTTGGGTACCACAATTGCTGACTCAGCAACCCATTAATTAGTTTTGAAATATTAACCAATTTTTATTTCTTGATAAGTTCTTCCTTTTCCACCTCCTTTCCCCCACTCTCCTACCTCTGCTCTGAAACTGTCAACACTTCAGGTTAATATAGAGGTGAAAGAAGAGAATGGAGAGGACTCAGAATATAGAGAAATATTTGAGAGGGAAATTCCTTAAAAACTAAAAATGTACCATTCCCTTACCTCCACCCAGGCTTGTTGAATGTGGAGGAAGTAGAAGGAAAATGATATAAACAAGTTAAATCTTCTCAAAAATATACAAGGGATGTAATGAAGTGAGCCACCAGAAAGTGACACAGACGGGAATAAAGAATGTATAATAGAGGGTTACAAGCATGGACCCTGGATCTAGACTGCCTGCGTTCAAATCCCAGCTCTGACTCTCACAAGCTGTTATTATTGTTGCCTAATTTCCCCAAACTATAAAAATGAGGATAAACTATCCAGGGATTAACTAGGTTGGAGATGCTGGAGAGAATGAGGTCTTACCTAAATCTCCCTCTATTCTTCACAATATTTTTTTCCTCTCTTGGCTTCTACCATACTGCTTCATTATTGTTCCCTCCTACCCTTCTGGCTATTTTCTTTAAACTCAGCTCATGTAAGACTACTTCCTTCAAGAGCTGTCTTCTGGACATCTCTCAAGGTCATAGGCATCCTATGAAGTCCCTACGTGCTTAAGAAAGTTCCCCAAGCTTTGCGTCCTACCATCTAAGCTAAATATTTTCATTTCTGTTTGATCAATCCCATTAAATGGACTCTACACTTGAACAGCCTACCAGGCTTCTGATTTGGCACGTTTCCTCCCATTTTATCACCTTAGCACCAAGCAGTGCTTTCTGTGGACATGTGGAGCACAGGCTCCTGCACTGGATCAGGCTTCCCAGCTTCCGGCCAGGCCCCAGGTCTAGGAGACTCATAGCCTCCATAGATTTCTGCCTGTTCAACTACCCCTTGAAGGATCAAGGATTCTCTTGTTTCTTACTCCCCATGTTTACCCAGCAATCTCATTTTCCTCCATGGTTTTAACATTCATTGACAGGCTAATGAAAGTATTGGCTTAATGTTGATTAAGTGTGACTATATACAAAGCACTGTTTTGAGAAAGGTATTATATTATTATACTCACTTTGAAAATGAGCAAAAACTGAGACAGAGAAGGATTGGTAACATAACTGAGTCACAGGGCTCATAGGTGCAAAGGAAAGACTGACAGTCTAAGGCCCTATAC